GAACGATGTGGGGCTCGGGATATGGATACCACTCACAAATATTTCCGCAATCAGCTTTATGTTATAAATAGTTTTGTTAATTATGATTCTGAAACAGATATGTTAAGGTTTAAATATTTTAATTAAGAAAGCAATTCGTATTTTATGTTTATTATAAGACCTTTTAAAAAAAAAAAAATGTTCCGTAAATTTTAAGAAATTTCAGTAAGTACAAGTTAAAAAGTTAGTTACAGTGGCGGCCTCAAAAGAGGGTCGCTACACGGGCGGCCCGCCGACCCGAAGTTCCAGCACTACATGAAACAATAATAACTTGTGAACAACCAGCGTCAACAACAAAAAGCACATGAAATGAAAGAAGGTGCAAGGCATATGAAACGACATCAATTTGAAAAATTACATAAATCGTTTAAAACGACAACATAAAGGTAAATGATAAAATCATTTTAATGCCCCTTTTGTTGGTGCATTATATTTTTAATAATACTAAAAATATATTTTCTATAGTTAAAAAATATCATTTTAATTCCTGAGATCAATTTTTGAGATATTAAGGAGTTGTTTTTTTACAACAAAACTCAAAAAAAAATTGAACTCAAGTTACAACTTTATTTAAGTTCATATTCTTTTGTAAAATTTGAGTTTGAACTCGAGTTTGAATTTGAGTTTGAACTCGAATTTGGGGCTAAACTCGAGTTCAAGTTTCCCCTTCAACTCGAGTTCATTAACTCGAACTCAAGTTAATGAACAATATTTTTTCTATTCTTAAAAATGTCATAACTTTTTCATTTTAATTCGGATTGAGATGATTTTTTTTTCTATGCATTCACAACGAAAAGACGAATAAAACTCCACCCATATACCATATTAAAATTTTTCATCACCATTGAGTTTTTATTAAAATACTATCTAAATACAAATTTATGTTCTGACTCACCCAAATATAAATTCAAAAAGATTCTCAATTCAACTTATAACTCAAATGTGAACATCTAAACACAAACTCAAGTTACAATTTTAACTCAAGTTATAATTTTAACTCAAGTTATAACTCAAACTTAACTCAAGATCATCACTCAAGTCACCCTAACTCAAAAATGCAAAAGAACAGCCCCTAAATATCCAAATTGATATTCGCATTAACTAAATAGATGTTTTAAGGGCCCGTTCACTTCGCTAATTTGAGTTTGTAATTCGAGTTGAGATGTGATTTTATGTGAGAACTTTTTACTGTAGCAAAAAAGTTGGATGTGACTGTTTCTGAGAACTTTTTACTGTAGTAAAACTCAAATTCTAAACTCGAATCGGTGAAATGAACGATGAATATTTTCTGATTTTTGTGAAACAAATTATTGGCTTATAAAAAGTGGAAAAAAGAAAAAGAAAAAAAGAAAGAAACAGGAGATACACGGCGTCAACAACCAAGCCACGGTGGATATCCACTCAGCCACCAAAAACACACGTAATCCGGCACGGTGGGCCCCCACCACGCTGTAGCTTTGTCCACCAACACCAACGCCTTCTTTCCTTAATCAATTTCCTTTCCTTACAAAAGCTTCTTTCTTTTTTTCCTTTTTCGTTGTTGGAATTGTAAAAGCTTTGATTTTTGTTTTGTTTTTTTGTTTTTTTTTTTTTTTTTTTTAGCGCAGCCATATAATATTCTTCTCCCATTTCCTAGTCTCTTATCTTTCCCTTTCCCAGGCAATTTCTGAAAGCAAAGCATTTCCTTTTCTCCTTCAAAGATTCAATTCGTATTCAAGACCCGAAATTAGGGTTTTCCCCCCCTTAAATTAGCACAAAGCTATCGATCATCTCTTGAATCCAGGTTAGATCATATTTCCTCTCTTCTTGCATAATTATCGTTTTTGTTTTTTTTTTTTCATAATTCAGGTGGTTGGATCTGAAAATCCGACTTCAAAATCGTTGAAATCGTACGCTTTTTCGCTTAATTCGCTCGATTTTTATCTGATTATTCACAAATTTATCTATCTACTTTGAGGAATTTCCCAATTTTTCGTTGTTGATAATTTCTATTTCTGAATCGGTTTTAGGATTTTTATTTTTTGGGCAGGAAATTGTGGTTAGAAGATGGGGGCGTTCGTATCTAGGGTTTGGTTCATGTTGTTCCCGGCGAAAGAGTATAAGATTGTGGTGGTTGGCTTGGATAACGCCGGGAAGACCACCACTCTTTACAAATTACACTTGGGAGAGGTTGTCACCACTCACCCTACCGTTGGGAGCAACGTCGAAGAGCTTGTCTACAAGAACATTCGGTTCGAGGTACGATAGTATACTCATTCTCACTGTCTCTTGATCTCTGATATTGTTTGTTTCAATCGTTTTTTGGTATCTGCCATTTGAGCTGGATTAAGCTTTTGGTTATGGAATTATTAAGTCGCAGACACAACTGGTTTGTGGGGTTCTATTATATCAAGCTATATCTGTATATGTTTTCTGATTCTGTGATTACCCTCTTGGGGGATTCTTGTGCCTTGTGTATTTGGCTAGTGAATACATTTTTCTCGAGTGTGTTTGGGGGTTTAAGATCAGCAAAAGCAGTGTTTTATGAGCTGAAAAGAGCTTTTTTTTTTCTTTTTTTTTTGTTTTGTTTTGTTTTTGTTTTGTTTTTGTTTGGTGTGTTGGGGCTGGGTGGGGTGGGGTGGGGGGTCAGATTGGTCATTTTAGATTTTTTTTTTCTTTTCCTAATTTGGTAGGTTTTGCTGCTTAACTTGTGCCAATGGATTAATTTTTTCATGATTTGGAAATTTACTTTCAGTGATGAATGTCTATAGGATAAATGTCTTAGCAAGCTTGTGGCGTTCAATGTTAGTTGGAAGTTCAGACTTGGTTTCATTTAGCTTTTTTTCCTCATAACTGCTTCACGTTGGTTTCAATAAGTTCTGCGATATTATGATCAAGAATAAAAAAGTCTCGCTTTAAGATTCCAACTTTGAACATGTTTGTGTGTACATTAAGGCATAGTGTTGTAAGTTGCCATTTGTTAGTATCTCTGACCATTAAGTTCCTTACGTAGCGGGTGAGGGGGTTTCCAGTGTAGAATCCAATTCAGAAGTTCCCGTTTTAGTTTGCTTTAAGTGTATCCATTGCCGTTTTAGTTTACTTTATTCAAATATAGACATTTGATTAGTGGATTCCTAAGTTTATTTTACTCGAAGAGTTGGCTGCAATTCCTGTTCAGAAATTACTGATTTTAGTTTGCTAGTTTAAGCTTGTAGCGTTTACTTTATACAGAAAGATTTGTTTCTTTATGTGCCAAATGAACAGCCGTCAACCATTGTCTGCCCATGCTTTTTGTGTACATCAGGTATGGGATCTTGGTGGACAAGATAGACTAAGGACATCATGGGCAACATATTATCGTGGTACTCATGCCGTCATTGTAGTGATAGACAGTACCGATAGAGCCAGGATTTCCATCATGAAGGATGAGCTCTTCAGGTTGCTGGGACATGAGGATCTTCAACACTCCGTTGTACTAGTCTTTGCTAACAAACAAGACCTTAAAGATGCCATGACACCAGCTGAGATTACCGATGCCCTTTCTCTGCACAGCATTAAGAACCATGACTGGCACATCCAGGCCTGCTGTGCCCTCACCGGAGACGGCTTGTATGACGGTCTAGGCTGGATTGCTCAGAGAGTTACTGGGAAAGCAACAAGTTAAAAAGAGAGAAGAGAACAGAAACAACGGACATTTCTAATGTATTCAGAGGATGGTGGGAGAGTGATAGACACGTATAATTTGTTTATCATCAAACTCTTTGAATGCTCTATTTCTGTGCAGATCTGTAGATTGTTCTCAATTTCAACATGTTGGAGGAAAAAAAAAAAAAAAAACATTTTGAAAGCTGAAGCTTTTCAATGTCATCTGTACTTCGAAAATTTCAAATCACTATTGAACATTTCCATTGAAAAATTGTTACGCTCTCCGCAAACGCACTTCAATTTCATAACCGCCCACTAATGAGAAAGTATTGCTATAAACTGACAACTGCACAATGAAAACATTTCATGAAAAAGTTAACAATGAACAGTAAGGATCTAAGACTGAAACATATGTGAATTGGGGATGAAGCCTCTGTGAAACAAATAAAGATGAAAGCCTTGAAATTAGCAATAATCGTCACAGGATCCAGCATCTGCAGCCTTTTGAATCTTGGGGGCCTTCGAACCATCGATCCCATAATGGATTGATCGGGCCGTAAGTTCTGTCATATAGAGAATATCAGAAATTAAAACCAAGTTAATTTTTGGATGTGAAATGATGAACGAGATTAGAAGAGAGCATTACGCTGGGAGTAGTGGATCAGGTCTTCTTTCTACATTAAGCAATCTGAAATCAGAAAACAAAATCCAGTTTGAGAAACTGACATGGTGAAGGTAATATTTCGATACATGATCAAATATTCCGAATATCATGCTTTATGCTTACTCATTGCACGCAGCTGAGGCTTTTTCCATTCTTTCTAGCTGTTCAAGCTCTTCCTGTACATAAAACACAGAGAGAAGCCACTCAGCATGGAAACACTAAAATGTCAAAAAGAATTTGGAATTTATCGCATTATAAGCAGGATTCTAGATGACGGAAAGGATTGTAACTCAATCTGGTACGTTAGATCACAAAGAACAAAAATGAAGTTGTCTATCATCCACTTTCAACCTGTTTTTAAATAAATCTGCATGTTATCAACTTCCTGGTATTGTTTTGGAATGGTCAAAAGTGCCCGCAGAGTGAATAAGGTGGCAGCTTATAAAAAGACATCAGGACGTAAACAACAACGAAGGCAAAAGAATTAGGACAAGACAGAAAAATAGGGCTAACAAGAAGAACACGGAAAACTTCACACAATTACAGCAGACAGTAGCAACTTCTACATGATCCACTTATAATCCTATAAAGGGAACGCTAGTTATGGAAAATATGCAAGGAAACCACTTTTCTTTTTGTTAAGGTTCTGCAAATGAACAAACTGTAAAAGAATATAACCCGATATTCAGCAATATCAGAAAGTAGTGAACATATGGGAAAAAACAACCAAATAGGCCATAGTGTATTAAGATAACAAAATCCTTCAATCTTTCCACAGGACAAGAAGATTTCTCTTGACCTTTTTTTATCCTCTGAACTCACTTCGTGAGGCTGAGTTTGAAACTGGAGTCTTTCGCCAAACCTACAATCTTTGGAATATGCGTGAAACTATGACTTTTGTCATGTAGGTGCTCATAAGGTGGTTCGGACCCCATACCTTGTGGGACCAAACCAAAGGCCCGCCTGACCATGCCAACCATCACCCTTCTTTCTACCATTGAAAACAATGTCAAAGTAGAGTACCTCAAGTTTTTTAAAGAACTATCCCCACAGTGCTCGGACAAGTGCATTATTGTAACAAAATCATTGAGTCTTTTCCATATGAAAACAAAATACCTCTGACTGTTTCTCCCTTTCTGACAAAGGGACTGAGTAAAAAGTATAGAACCCGAGAACTTTCAAAAAACTAATCCAGAATGCTAGAACCAGTGAGGGGCGCGAAATAATTCATAAAACAATGACATGGATACTGATGGTCATTTTTCTCTTCCGAGATATTGTTTGCCTCACTTTCGCCCCTAGATGCCAAAAATAACTTAGAATAACAATTTACTAAAGTTCAACTATGTAAAAAGAAGGCCTTTACCAGAGATAGTGGAGTTATATGAACTGTTAACTAAATAATCTTCAGAGAGAAAGATATCGTTTTGGACCTTTTGGCAACTACTCTGAGTTACGGAGGAAAACAGGAATCCTGATCACAATTAGAAACCAAAAATGGTGTTGACGAGCCTAGTGACTTAACCAGTAAGGACAAAGGAACAACTACAAGTGTATCTGTACAGCAAGATTTAGACTAAAAACTGACTTGTCTTATGGCTCTATATATTAAGTCACATTCAATTATATTAGAAGCATACCCAATCCTATGAACGTTGCAGACGATCATGGTGAGGCTAAACACTCCAAAGTTTGAGAATGCCCCTCAAAGCTTGAGAAAACATATGACTAACACAATTGAAAATAAGGGACCCCAGTCTAGATGGCAGAACATTTTGATTTTGGTCGAGATTTTGTTTCTCATTCAAGGCATCCTAATTCATGATCCATTAATGTGCGCTGCCCCAAGATTACTATAGTTGCTAATATAGTTAAGACGGGAACTGAAACTGCATGGGATGTCCTTCAAAAAAAACAAAAAAAAAAAAACTGCATGGGATGAACAAGTTCACATGAAGTCGTAATAGAAGAGGACAAATCAGCTAAGTGGATAGGTACTACAATGTAAGAAGCAAGCATCACAAAATTAATAAAAACTGTCTATCCGGAAAGTTAAACTTAAGTTTACCAAAAGCACAAGCTAATACCCTTTAAGGAGCACAAACGAACAATTGCTTAACTCTTTTTCTTATAAGAGAACGCTAAGATTAAACAGATGGGAGTAAAGGACTAATTGCATAGTCATTCCAAATGTAAATGGGCTAACATTACTCGGAACAACGTCTAAAGACACGCCTTGAGGAATGTCCTCAAATAATTTGACAGCAAGGGTACTGGCCACATGATTTTCTTCAAAACGTGTCGACACAATAAACGAATATCCTTCCTTATAGGCCCCAATAACCTTCTCCCCCAAGTCAAAATGGGAATCTAACATCTACGCTAGAAGCGGCCAGCGGGTTCCTGACAACACCATCTTAACTTCGTAACAAAAATCTCAAATGGCCACAATCAGATGCAACAATACAAATGCAAATAACACAACCCCCACAAATTTCTGCATAGAACTTCAGTATCTCTCTCATGACACCACAATGCTTCGGAAACCAGCCTATTCATCCTCAAAACAGGATCATATCCCGTAAATCAAGGGCAAACACAAACCTAAACACACCCCCACTCGGCAGTGTCTTTACATTTACATTGATCAGAAGCAAACACCAAAAACTCCGGACCCACTTAAACAAATTCACCCAAAAAAAAAAAAAATATATATATATATATATGTATATCTAAAGACATCCAAACTTTAAACCAAATTCCAAAACTAGGGGAACCCAGTTGACAAGGCAATAACAAATTCCCAACCAAAAAAAAAAAAAAAACCATATTCAAAATTTCCATTTCTCTTCCAGAAAAAAACAAAAAAAAAAAAATCAAAGTCAAATATCTATAACCTCAAACATTTCTAGGAACCAACGAAGAGAAACAAGAAAAAAAAAAAAAAAAAAAAAAAAAAAAAAAAACAAGTATATTGAAAAGTTGAATTTAGGCTGACCTCTAAGAATCTAGCTTCTTGCTCGAGCCGCTGGAGCTCGGCCTGTATCCTGTGCTTCCCACGCGTGTCAGTGGCTGCCATTAAAGACGGAATCCGGTGGGTTGTCGGAGTAGCGGATTGGGACCCACTCGATTGCATCTTCTTCTTCACTTAAAGAGCTTCCAAGCCGACCAATAAAAAGAAGAGAAAAAAGCCCTACCTTTCAAACAGTTGCAGAAGAAAAAGAAAAAAAAAAGGAAAAAGGTTTAAGAAAAGAACAAATTGATCATCTCATCTCGGATACGCCGTTATAATGGGAAAACAAGGACGACCCAGAAACAGAAATTCACTCTCATGGACCCCACAAAGCAAAAAACGAAACTTAGAGATGGAACAGATGGGATCTAAGGACAGATAAACAGAGAGAGCTTTTGGGATTATCTGGGTTTTGGCTGTTTCAAACAAAAAAAATCAACTTTTTCTTTTTATTTTCTTACTAAAGGAATGAAAAGTTGAAGAAAAGAAAGAAAAAAGGAAGCTTTTTTCTTCTTCTTGTTCTTTTGTTTTGTTGGGTCTTGTGTTGTTTGTGTTTGTTGGATGAAAGCTGGTTTTCTTTTTGAATGTGCGTTTTTCTTTCTTTTCTTGTTGTTTTTGTGCGTCTTTTTTGTCTCTCCTACGAACACCCTTTTGGTTTTTCCAAGTTCCCCACGCGATTCTTTCTCTGTGAGTTGGACTGTGACAGAGATTTGTGGAACCGTTAGTGGGCACAAAGCGGACAAGATTTTTGGAGTTTTTTATACAAGTAAAAAAGAGTAGGAATTGTCCCTCAAAAAAAAAAAAAAAGGCTTTTCCTTTAAAAAAAAAAAAAAAAAAAAAAGAAAGAGGGGGGAATTGTTCGAATTAAAAAAATATTATTCTTTCGAAATTATTTTAGAACTAGTTTGATAGAAGGTAAAAGGGGAAGGTAAAAAAAAAAAAAAAAAAAAACAGAGAGAGAATAAATTGGGTGAGGGATTTCAAATTTTAAAATTTTTTTAGTGTTTTCTTTTTTTTTTTTTTAAGAACAACAGTGTTCTTTACATATATCAGTCATCGAATTTGTATTATTTTTTTAATTTGATTTAATTTTTGATTAAATTTAATACATATATAATGATTGATAAGTATAAAACACCGGTATTCTTAAAAAAAAAATACCAGAGAAATTCTCTAAAAATTCATACCAAATATGATAATTTATTTTCTATATATAGGTTCTATACTGTTATTTTCATTTTTATTTTCTTTCCATCTTAGCAAGTATAGTAATGCATCCACAACAATATATGAGGATGATGAAATGAACGATAGTGTAATTTTATGAAATAAGTAAAGACTAGCATATATTTTATTTTGGTTCAACGTTTTTGTTTTCTAGTTATTTTTAATTAACAAATTGGGAATGGGCTTGGAAATTGCAAATAAATTTAGAAAATTTACAAGATAACGTAGAAAGTCCAAAAGTTTTTATTTATTAAAGGGTTCTTGTATTTTAAATGCTGTAGTGTCTACAATTTATAAATAGGCTTCAAATTTTTTCATCAGAAAGATGATGAATAATAAACCCTTTCAAGAATTCTTTCAATATCTTGTATAAACTCTGATCAGTATTTCATTGGAATCAACAAAAATTAAGTCAGGGCCGTTTAGTTCGTTGATTCGAGTTTTTAATTTGAGTTGAGATGTGACTTTATGTAAGAATTTTTTACTGTAGCAAAAAAGTTAGATGTGACTATTTTTAAGAGCTTTTTACTGTAACAAAACTCGAATCGGTGAAATGAACGAGGCGAGTTATCCTTATTTTTCCTTACATTCACGAGCAAAACAACAGACTAAGGGCCCGTTCACTTCGCTGATTCGAGTTTAGAATTCGAGTTTTTCTACAGTAAAAAACTCTCACAAACAATCACATCTAACTTTTTTACTACAGTAAAAAGCTCTCACATAAAGTCACATCTCAACTCGAATCAGCGAAGTAAACGGGCCCTAAAAGATGACATATGTTCCATATTTTGAGTGTATCAATGTACTTTAAGATCCGCGGTACATCACCATACAACGCGGAAAAGATAAAACGTTATATATTTATTACATTCTATTATTTTTCATGATTTTCTTACTCTAGTATAATCTTAATATGATCTAAATTGTATTACAAACATATTCTATCATAAACTTTTCTCAGAAAGCATAGAATTGTAAGATATTTATGAGATTTTATTATTCTCATAAGTTTTTTTTATAACAACCTAATCATTCAAAATTGTATCATGTTTCGTACGTCAAATCTTTATCTAACTCCATTTAATTATTAGTGTTTTTATTCTGATACAATTCTTACGGTTGGGTATTTTTTTTTCATACCTTATCAATAGAATTTCATATAAAATATACATGCATTACTGTTTTGTTTCTCATTGTAACTTGTAGGTGAAATGCAAGGAGTGAATATTTATTACATTCAAACAATGAATATTGAATACTGATTTTTTTTTTCTAGCGTGGAATGAATCGTCCTTTTTTAAAAAAAAAGTAAATTATTAGAATAAAATAAACAACAACTTGTGGGGAAAAGGAAAAAAAAAAAAAGAATAAGAAGAAATATTAAGCCTGATTGAGTCCAAGAACTCAGAAGTCACTAGTCAGAACCAAAATTCACTTGACCAGGAATGTATCAAAAGTCAACAAGTTAATAAAATATTGCACTTGGTCCATAAGTTGGTACTTAATAGGCCGTTAGTGCAATGTTCTTACTTGGTAGAAGTCGCCATAATGCAACAAAAGATTACAGAAATTTCAATTGCGCTCATATTGATCGCTGTAGGAATGGGGTTCAAATTTTTCTTAGCCCATTCCCGTCAATCGACTCTTAGGGGATATTTGGTTAGAGGATTCAAACCATAATTTAAATTATATAGTTCATTACAGTATTTTTTCTCACAAAAAATACACGTAAATGAAAAATAATTCTAATCACATGATTCTAATCCATAAATCAAACGTCTCCTTAATCTATGAAAGAGGGTACCTCTATGTATGTATGGACATGGAGTAGAGAAATACTATCTCCACTCGGATCAAGACATAATTTTTACTTGTTTTGAATCGTCAATAATACAAATCAATATCAAAACCAATGTGGATGTTATATTTAACACGTCAAAAAACATATTTAACACGTTATTCTATTTTATATTCCAATACATAATGTCATTTTAAACGTTATTTTTTTTTTTTTCTAGTGAATGGATACAACGCATTTGACTGATTTGAAATAATCAGTTATTCTACCTAGGGTCATCCAATATTCGTGAAATACCCTACTAGTAGAGGAAAACAATGCGTATTATTGGGAAATTTTTAAGAATGTCATAGAAAATATATTATTTTATTTTTGCCATCAATTTTAAGTTATTCATTTATGCCATTAGTAGTCTAGTATAATATCTTTCATATTCCAGCAGAATTATTTTTCTCTGGTAGGGATATTTTTTATATTCTACCAAAATACGTTTCATATTTTATCAGAATATTTTTTAATGGCATAATTAATAAGATTTTTCGTTATTCTCTCTTATTCACATTTTATAGAGGTTCTTGGGTTAATTTTCTCTATTATTTTTCCTTATTCTCTCTTCTTCTCTCTCATTCACATTCTATAGAGGTTCTTGGGTTGTGGATCATGGTCGTTCGGCTTTACTTTTGTAATAATCACGCACTGAAAACTTGATCATGACCGTGTTCAATGAGAATTGTGGCTAGGAGCATAAAGATCGTGTTTGTGATGATGGAATATCATGAAGTTTCCCGTGATAATTTTTGGATCGGTGTCGAATTGGAGATTTGAAAAAACACTAATAAAACGCTTATGCATATATGTACCATAAGGTATGTTTTTCTGTCACTTATGAAATGCTAAAGTTTTAAGTAATTTTAGTTATCTATATTAGACTAACTATTTTATATAAATAAAAATTTATGTCAAACTACAGCATTAATGAGAATTTATCATCTAAGTTGCAATTTTTTCTCATTAAAGGAGGAAGTTAGCAACAATAAGTAATAGCATATACATTAGAAACAATTCTCACTTTGCATAATCATTATCGTTACTAAATGTAAGATTTAAACTTGATAACGAATTATAATGCAACGGGAACGTGATTGTATTGTTATACTTCATACGTCACGAATCTGTTGTGATGACCACCAAAATAATTCCACTAACGACATTATATATTTATTTTAATTTCATGTATCTATTTTGTTTTTATAATATATATATATATATATGTTTGAGAGTATGCAATATATTGCAAATGATTCGACTTTAATAAAAATGCGTGGAAAAAGATCCTCTGGATACGATGTAGTTTTCACATTATTTCGCTGGAATTTTCAGGTTTCAAATTCTGTTGGGGATGTGTCGTCCTAAGCCTCGACGCACTCCTTGAGCATCCTCTCATTGTCACCGTAGTTTTGCCCCTTCTTTCCCATGTTCCAATTCATGTAATATTTCTTTTTTTTTTTCCTTTCGAATTTGAAGATTTGAATTCATTTTTTTTTCTGGTTAATTACAATCTTATAACAATAATAAATGACAATGTTATCCTCTTGGTGAATTTTGTGGTAGTGTGTGAAAAATACTCTACCAGCAACACACATAATTTTATAATCAAATTATATCAAGTACAATTTTTAACAATTATTATTCTTATTCGTGTCCCATCAATTTTAAATTCATTCTCAATTTGTCCAATAAATTTTTAAAAATTTCACTTTATTAATTTTAAGTTAGTCCCACATGACTTCTATGTGTGGGTACATGTGGTTTTTTTTTTTTTTTTTTTTGTCATTTTTAATGGAATTTCTAAGATAATGAGATAAGTTGGAGTTATTCAAAACCAAAAGAGTAAAGTTAAAGTAAAAGTTTAAGGGGCAAATTGAAAATGAACCTAAAATTCATAAGCACAGTTGAGATTGGTCCAAAACCTTACTTTCTATTTGAGAAGAACAATTCCCAAAATAAAAGGGGAAAATATGGTTGAATCTAGGACGTGATAATCACACAGAAAAACAAAACGCGTGGTTCATGGCGGCAGCAACGCTAACTTTACTCAAAATGTTGACGTCGATAAGAGGGAGGAGAACATTATTATAAGACGTTGTTAGTGTTAAATACAATCTACTAATAAAATGTGAGTCTTACTGTGAGAAGCACAGATGAGATTCATATTTTATTAGTGATGATTCTTAACATCAGATGCCCCGCTAAGCATTTTTTGCCAGAGGGGGTGATTGGATTGAGGCCAGAACATTGTTGTCCTCGTGGGATGTGCATCACACACGGGGTGTTCCTTAAAATTAAAAAGCATAAAGTGCTTGCTCGCTTTACACTGTTTAGTGTCAAGTGGCTTGTGCTTTCTCCAACATTTTGCTTCTTCTTTAATTTGTTTAGATTTAGACTTCTTA